CTGCGAGCCTTCTCCGCACCCACAGCGGTCGCAGTCTTTTGCCTTGATCTTGTAGAGGAAGTGGTTTAAGCCGATCCTCTACGTGCGCATCTGTATCAATATTGATGTGTGTGGCTTATTGAGGCCTTGATACAGCTTCAATGTCGCCTTTCCGGGTGCCTTGATCAGCTGCTGTGTCGGCTTGGCCCCCCTTTCTCGCTCCCAAAGCTTCCTCCAGCGATCCCTGATATGTTGTTGGATCCCTCGTTTGGCTGCGGCAGCCAATCGGATTATCTTTTCGCCGGTTCTGACTGAGCTTAATTTAACCCCTGGACCCCGCAGCGCTGCCTCTCTAGCAGTCTCGTCCGCAGCCTTGTTCCCTTTTGATGCTCCAACGTGCGCCGGGATCCAGCGGATAGTGACGTCAAGGTTTGGAGAGGCCTGTATAACGTCATATATCTGCTGGATAATGTATTGACCTGATGGTCGTCCAGGGTTGCTCACAGCCTGGATCGCTGCTTGGCTATTGATGAATATCGTCACCTTCTGGGAGTTCTGGCTGGTGTTCTGGCCGTTGCTCTGGCTGCCCTCCAGAGCCATCCTGATCCCATAAAGCTCTGCTGCGTATACTGTTGCGTCTCTTTCTGTCCCTAGATATTGTTGTTTGATGACTCCTGCTTGAGTGTTGACTGCGGACGCTCCCACCAGTCCTTCTAGTCCACTCCCGTCTGTGAACCATATATTTTGTTCCACAGTGTCCTTGCATATCTTGTTGTGTTCTTCTTCAGCTGCCTCTCGGCTGCTGATAATGTGCTTAATGGGCGTCTCCCATGGTGCTAAGACCCATGCCTTTTGTGACTCCCACTCTTGGTCAGGTCCTAATGCTAGCACTGACCCTGCTGTCTTGCTCCATTTAAGTGCTTCCAGGGGTGTCCGTCCCCCCTGTCTCATTTCCTTTGTGTCCCTCTGTTTGAGCAGTCCTTCTGGATATGCTTGAGTTGGCCCAGTTTGGATGCGGATGGCTGTTTCCTCGATTGTCCGTTGCATCTGTAGTTGGATTGGCAGTAGATAAAGTTCTATGTTGAGTGCTGCTGCAGCAGTGCTTTTGAAGGCCCCGCTGATTAGAATTGCTGCTTGTCTCTGGATCTTTGTGTATTTGTTCGCAATCTTGTTGAATTCATGAGTGGGGATTTGCCTGCTTGCTGGGCTGTACCACGCTGCTGCCCTGTAGAGCAGCTGCGGGATGACCATAGCCTGGTAGACCCTCCGCATGGCCATTAGTGATGTCCCCTAGGTTGAGCCTGTAATGCTTTTCAGCGCCTCTAGACTAGCATTAGCCTTGGCCAGCGCCTTCGTCCTGTGGGTTGAGAAGCTAAGGCTTTTATCGAGCCAGATCCCTAGATACCGTGCTGATTCTGTTGGCTCGATGGTTAGGTCGGTCCCTGGATACCGCACACCCATCTGGTCGTTCCCTACTGGCTCCTCTGGTATTTCCTATATGTTGTCTGGTTCTATATATACCCCATCGTCTTCTTTCTCCTCCTCTAATTTGGGGTTCTTGAAATGAATGAGCTCGAATTTATCTGGGGTAAACTTTGATGCATGCTGAGATGCCTACTTATCTGCCTTGATAAGTACTACCTCCAGTAGCTTCACATTGTTCATGTATGAGTCTGATTCAGCTAAGATAGCTGTGTCGTCTACCTAGCTAAATGCCCTGGTTGAGCCTGTTCTTTCATACCTTGTTGTGGTGTGTAGCAGTGGCGAGTTGAATATGAGGTATAAGATTAGTGACAGTGGTGATCCTTGTGGGATACCAGTTGGTGTTGAGAACAGATCACTTATATATCCTGGCATTTGGAGTCTGGTGTATTGATTATTGAGAAATGACTGCAGCCATGCTGCTAGCCACCCCAATCCTATTTTCTTGACGTTATGGATTAGTCGGGTGTGGGAGATGTTATCAAACGCCCCTGATATGTCTTGGAGCAGCATTGTGACCTTCTTGCCCTTCCCCCATGCTTGATAGACTCTGTCCATGATCATTTGAATAGCGTGGTCCATGGAAATGCCTTTCCTGCCCCCTAGGTGTCCCTTGGGGAACAGTCTGTACTCCTCCATGGCCCACGCCACTCTATTGGTGATGATTGATTCTAATACCTTCCCCAGCGTGTTGAGCAGCGCTACCGGTCGGTATGATTTGGGTATATGGTAGTTGTGTGGGCCAGGCTTCCTTAACACTACCGTGACTGATGTCTGGAAGTGTGCCGGATTATGACTGATGCGGATACATGCGTTGAATATATATGTTAGTACCTTGATGAACGCTGGTATGGTCGCTAGTGTATGCCAAACCTGGTTTGGGACAGTGTCTGCTCCTGGAGCCTTGTCTGAAGGTGCTCTTTTGATTGCTTTCGTGACCTTATATGGGGTAATGTCGGGCATGTTGATTGGTTCAGGGTATCTTGTGTTTGTGTTGATGTCGCTTAAATCTGCTGGCGGTGGCTCTGGGAAGAAGACCTTCCTGAATGCCTCTGTCTTCTTTTCCATGGTGTCCGCCTGGCCATCTAGTGTTGGTATGACTTCTGTTGTCTGCTGTCTCGTCCGTGCCCATCTAGCTAAGTGCCAGAGCCCCCTTGGGCCCTTTTCCACCACATCCTGGACCTGCTTTCGATGGCTCTGGCGCAGAGCTTGGGCTATGATTTGTGCTTTTTGGTTTCTAGATAGCCTGTACTCATTCCAGGCGCTCTCTGTCCTCCTCTTATTAAATATTCTGTGTAATTGCCTCGTTGCTTTGATTGCCTGTCGGCACTCAGGGGTGAAGGCAGGGTTTGACCATTTGCTTGACCTCGCCCATGGGGTCGATTCGGCTATCGCCCGTTGGACGACCTCCATCAGATGGTTGGTTGCATGGTCGATTTGGTCCGCCGTATCTAGTTAGTGTTTGGTTGTTGGTAAATTAGTGCTGATAAATGCCTGAAGCTTCTTCTCATCCATGGCCTTCTAGTTCCGTCGTTTCTGCTGTTCTGGGGGTGGTGTATATATGTCGACCAGTATTCTGATTGGTAAATGGTCTGAATCTGCATGGCATTCTGGGGCAAGCTCGCACGCGACCATTTAGCTGGTCAGTCTTTGGGATCCAAAGACCAGGTCAATTGTGGTCTGGGAGCCGTTTTCGTCTCGTGTAATTGTTCCTGGTTCAATTCATAGGTCTAAGAGTTTCCTGTCAGTTAGTTCTAAAAGTTCCTCTGCTGTGGTGTCTTGAACGGCATCCTTGCCGCCCCACACTGGGTGGTGGAGGTTGAAGTCGCCTATTATGAGAGTCTTGCTGTTCTGTCGTCCTGTTGAATGGACAGTTGATTGGCTTGTCATTGGGTCATTTGATTGGCTGGTTGTGGATGGTATCAACTGGTCCAGTCGTTCTATCATGTTGGTGCCAAGTTCATTGTATATATTGAAAATATGCAGTTCTCCTTGTTGGTGCCAAATAGTGAGTTCTTGCACATCTTTTGAATGTGCTGTGTGCTTCCACCTTTGAGGGTTGAGTAGGCGTGAGATAAATAGACACACCCGCGCCCGTTCCCTGCTGGTCTCAGCAGCTGTTGGGTATAGGAGCTGGTGTGACTGCTTTGCTGGGTGGTGTGTCGTGTCGTTGTTGTATGGGTTAATCCATGGTTCCTGTATGGCAATGATATCAGCTTTGAGGACGCGCTTGTCCCTCAAAAACTGAGCCATTACTATGTCTTTCGACTGGTTTGCATTATATTGAATGATATGAAGTGGCCTTCTAATCATTATGTTGCTTTGGTAGTTGTATCCTTGGCCTTTCGGCTAGTGGGTGTCTTGGTATTGCGCTTTCTCCTGACTGACCCTTTAGACACTAAAGAGCTATTTGCATCCATCTCCAAGAGTGGTTGGTAGTCACTCCCATCAATAGCTATTGCATCAGCAGGTTCTTCATCTGAGTCTTTGTGAATTGACATCCCTCTCTGTCTGGCTGTGAGCCTGTTCCTTGGCTCCTTTCTTGTATTTGGCTTCTCTGCAGCCGGCGTGCTGGCCTGAAGGATCTGTTTCATCTGTTCAGGCGTTGTTCTCACAGTCAGTTGTGTCAACGTAACACAGCTTCTTGTTGATTGTCTTGGCCTAACACTGCTCGCGCTGCTGGCTTCTATTCCTCTCTCTAACTGACTGGTGGTTGCCAGTTCCATGTTTGGGTGACTGGCGACTTCCTGGGAGAGGGATACACCAGCTCCTGAATCCTTACTTGCTTGGCTTGATGCTGTTCCCTCATTTGGCTTAGAGCCGGTTGCATTGGTGGTTATTTCTTGATTTGACTGTCCCATGTTGGGCACGTCGGTTGGTGCGGCAGTCAAAAGCCCTGAGCTGCTACTTATGGAGCCTTCTGTAACCCGTGTGAGGGACCCCTTATCAGTCATATAGGCAGGAATGTGGTGATATCTTGGGCGGTGCCTGAGCGCGTTTTCTACCCTCTCAACCTCCTGCTGGTGGAGCTCACAGCTCTTTGACTATGTGGGATGTGCACCCCCATAGTTGGTGTACTTGCAGCTTGATTAGTCCTGCTTGCGCGTACAGACCTGAATCTAGTGCTGTCCAGCATAATAAGGACAGGCAGTTTTATTGGGACAGGTGCTTCCTATGTGGCCATATTTCTGACAGTTATAACATTGACGGAAGCGAGCTGCTCGATCATATAGTTCTGTGTTCAGAAGATTCGAGTCCCAGATAGGTCCCGTGTCGATAATCTGATTGGCGATTTGCGGCTTGTTAAATTCAATTATAATTGAGGATAGTTTCTTCTCCGGTGGCCCTGCCAGCCATCCTATATGGAGAATCTCCACATCCTCACCTTATAGGCCCTCGTTCTCTGCTTTTAGCTGCATGGCAATAGCCTCTCGATTGGCCCTGTCTGAGAGGTTACCTATAGCCTTGACAGGGATACCGTGTACCACCACTCCCCATGATGGCATCTGGATTGTGGCAGCGGGCCAGACTCCCCTGACCTAGTTTTGATGGAGGTGGGCGACCTCCGCTTCCTTGGCGGAGCGGAGGCTCAAGCTTAGGTTATCTGACTTGAGTTGATGCGCCGCAATAAACTGTATCGCGCTGAGTGTAGGCTGATCGAGGGTGCTTATATATGCCTTATCACGCGCCTGTTGGGCCTTTCGCCTGATGTTAGCAGGAGTAAGGGCCCTAAACCTTTTGATTCCTGCTGCATCACCCAGTTTAACCATGATTTTGCGGTCGCGGCTGAGTTCGGAGGGCGTGGCCCCTTGGGAGCTGTTAGAGCCATGATTTGACTGATAGTGCGACGGCGGAGGTGTGTGATGTATGGCTTCAGCGAAGGATCTGACTCTTCCTGATGGTGATTGATTCTTGGTGTTGGTTCTGATCGCGTGGATGTCTTTCTTGAGGTTGAGTGTTGCCTTGATCACAGCATCTTCCACCGTCTTCTGTAGGCTACTACCTAATAGGTCCGTGAGAAAGACTTCCGTAGTGGCTTCGGTATTCTTAATAAACTTGATAACTGTCTCTGGGACCCTGACCTTCTGTTCCTTGATGTATGTGAGTAGCTGCTTCGCGTCGTGGTTTGCAGCTAAGGTGTGTTGTTGTGGCTGGCGTGGCCCGTTCCTGCGACTGTCTGATAATGTCGGCTAGTCTCGCTTCGACGCCATCGCTTTAATACCAATAAAATTAGTATCAAATGATAGCGGCTGAAGTTACGAGTAACTGGGCAAATTTTGGGCCTAAATAGGCGTGGTTTGGGTGCGCAATTTTCAAAAATTTGTTCTTTGCCAAAGTTGTTGTTTGTGGTGGGTGGTATCTTGGAACGGATTATCCCAGGGTTCTTGAATGGCGATGATGTCAGCCTTTAGGACCTCCGGGTCGCGTAGAAACTGAGCCATCACCACATTCTTAGAGCGGTGCACATTGTATTGTAGTATTTGGAATGTTCTATCCATGGAAAGCGCGGTGTGGAGTGTTCCGTATGCTCTTTTGATGGCTGCTAGTGAACTGGGGCGTCTCCGTGGAGAAGTTGACCTGGGGGTCCTTCTCAAGCTGTATGGGGGTCTCCACCACCTGTTTCTGCTTCTTCTTTTCAGCCCGGGTGCTAGGGTTGGTATCCTTGTCTTGTAGAACTGAGCTAGGCTGCTAGTTGCTTTCCGGGGGGTTAGGGAGCTCAGTATGGCTGTTCTCATCTTCATCGTCATCGGCAGTGTTGTCTTGGTATATATTGAGGCGGGTCCCACGCGCGGTGGCCGTCTGTTGGTTTCGTGGTTGCTTTGGAGGGTGGTCGTTATCTTCGTTGGTTAGGTTCGGCGGATTGATATTGTTTAAACGGTTGATGATTCGAGCGGAGCGGTGGGAGGTGGTGGAGCTGGTTTGATTAGTCAAGCCAGTTTGATTCGTGGGGGCCTTCCTAGACGCTGTTAAGGTTTTGGGGGACGGCGCTGAGGGGGCGAATGAGATATTGTTGACATTTTGGTCTGATAGTGATGTCAGGGATGATGTTGAGGTAGGTGCCTGGCCACGGGGTGGCTGCTTGCGAGATGGCTCTGATCTCGCTTTCTTAGACCCCTTGGATGGTCTAGTAGCCTTTTTCGCTGTAGTAGACCCTCTGGAAGAGCCCTCAGGGCCCTTAGATCCCTCTATTCCCTCAGATCCCTCTATTTGCATGGGGGAGCCCTCCACTGAGGCGTCTGGGGCGGACACTGGGGGGGAGGTGCTTGGTATGGTGGTGGAATCTGAGCCACTACTCTCAGGATCCCTTTGGAAGTCTTGCAAGTAGGGTGGAATGCGGTGATATCGCTGGCGATAGCAGGAAGCTGCCTGCACCTTATCCACCTCCTCTGCATACTTCTTGCACCCTTTGGACCAGGCAGCATGTGCGCCCCCGCAGTTGGCGCACTTTCTTGACTCCTGGCCAGTGGCCCGCCGGAGCAGGCAGTCATGGGTCTCATGACTGCCTGTGCAGAGGCCGCAGATAGTTTTATTGGAACAGATGCTTCCTATGTGGCTGTATTGCTGATAGTTGAAGCACTGGCGGATGTGAGCGGACCGGTCGTACAAGACCGTGGTCAGGATAGCAGAATCCCAGATAGTTCCCTCGTTGATAGCTTTGTTGGCGGCCTGGGGGGTAGAAAACTCAATCACTGACTTGAGCTGGCGGGCGGCCACGAATTTGATGGACGTGAGGGTGGCCGCCATGGTCTCCTTTGAGGCCTTCACGCGGGCCTTCTCAGCCCTATTCTTTATCTCCACTGCCTTCAGGCGCCGGAACGTGCTCACCGCGCCGGCGTCTGGCAGTTTGACGATGACCTCGCGGTCCTTGCTCAGCTCCGAGGGGGTGGCCCCGGGGCTGCTCGAGGATCCATGGGAGGAAGCCGTGTGACCAGGCGGAGGGGCCCCAGCGGCCGCGGCGGCATATGAGCGGACTTTCGAAGGCCAGGAGACAGTTGATTGAGTAGTCAAAACGTGCTGGGTGGAGGTGGTGTTCTTCTTAATATCGAGAGTGATCTCGCGGAGGTCGGTGACCGCCTTCCTCCAGTCGTCGCCCAGGGGGTTTTTGAGGACCTCCTCGACGACAGCATGCGTGTTGGTGATTAGCTTGATGAGAGGCTTTGGGATTCCTTGATTATGAACCTTTAGATGGTTCAAATAGACGCTTGTATCGTGGTGAAGGTCCAGGACGCGATTGTGCAGAGTTTTCTGTGGCCCCTTTTCGCCGCCGCGGGAGGCCGTCAGGGGCGGCCACCCTGGCTTCGATGACGACATGGCGATCAAGACCCTATAAAATTAGGATCAATTGAAGGCGGTCGTCGTCACGAGAAATTGGGCAAATTTTGGGGTCGAAAGACGTTGATTTGGGCGAGAAATTTCAAAAATTTGTTCTGCGTCGAAGTTGTTGTTTTTTTCGGTGGATGATCTTAGCCTCTCCCCAGGAGAACTGATTCTCAGCCAGAATCTGATCGGTCACGCGCTTAACTTCCTGGGGGTCGCTCAGGTCACCAATTGACTTGACCTGAACGTCGTGAACCACCACGCCCCAGGTCGGCAGGCGAACAATGGCCCCCTGGTGGAATGCTTTGGCCCATCCGGGGTGGCAGCGCGCGATCTCCGCCTGCTGGGTGGTCTGCAGGCTGAGGCTCAAGTCACCTGACTTGAGCTGACGGGCGGCCACGAACTTGATAGACGCGAGGGTGGCCGCCATGGCCTCCTTTGAGGCCTTCACACAGGCCTTCTCAGCCCTGTTCTTTATTTCCACTGCCTTCAGACGGCGGAACGTGCTCACTGCGCCGGCGTCTGGCAGTTTGATGATGACTTCGCGGTCCTTGCTCAGTTCCGAGGGGGTGGCCCCCAGGCTGCTCGACGAACTGTGGGAGGAGACTGTGTGGCCTGGGGACGGCGCCCCTGCAGCGGTGGCTGCGTACGACTGAACCTTAGCAGATATAGGAATAGATTGAGTAGTCAGAACGTGCTGGGTAGAGGTGGTGTTCTTTTTGATGTTGAGAGTGATCTCGCGGAGGTCGGCGACCGCCTTCCTCCAGTCATCGCCTAGGGGGTTTTTGAGGACCTCCTCGACGACAGCATGCGTGTTGGTGATTAGCTCGACGAGAGGCTTCGGGATTCCTTGATTATGAACCTTTAGATGGTTCAAATAGACGCTCGTATCGTGGTGAAGGTCCAAGATGTGGTCGTGCAGAGTTTTCCGTAGCCCCTTTTCGCTGCCGCGGGAGGCTGTCAGGGGCGGCCACCCCGGCTTTGACGACGACATAGCGATCGAAACCCTATAAAATTAGGATCAATCGAAAGCGGTCGTCGTCACGAGAAATTGGGCGAAATTTGGTGTTAAAAGGAGTTGATTTGGGCGAGAAATTTCAAAAATTTGTTCTGCGTCGAAGTTGTTGTTTTTTTT